TAAATATTTGACACATTATTTTCATACAGGTGGTACAGTGCTAGAGGCATTGGCATCTGCACAGTAGAACAGCTCCACTCCATGTGAACAGCCTTGTGGGTAGATGCCAGTCATGATCAAACCAGTGATCATGATGAACAAGCCGATTATTATTAACACCGCGGGTATCACGTTTTCACCATCGAACCAGCGGCCAGAGGAAAGCTTAAGGAAGCAGGCAGATGGGATGATGAAGATCAGAGGTGTGGCACTCAGAGCACCCTGGATGGAAGAAGATAATATCAGTAAGATAAAGAGAAGAATGAATTAGCATACCTAAATAAATAATTTTATGTCAGTGCAGACTTACATTCAGTTCCAAAACAACTCCTAGACAGTCATAGGCCAAAGATACTGATGTGCAGACTGCAACTATGAGCATGGTTATGGCTGCATGTTTAGTTTTTGAAAGATCTCGGCTGCAAATGACATTAGATACTACCTGAAAAAGACATTTGTGAGAAAATGAATATATTTAAATATATATGCATTTTCTACAGCTGTTAAAAGATTTTTAAAAACTAAAACAAAATTACACTCAGGAAGCTGCTGAAGTATTTAAAAGACGTTGCTGTAGTCTTTTTATTTGAGAAGTTTTGCTGGAGCATTTGAGTGCAAAGTCTAAAACCGTTAGAATATCACTCCCCCACAAATGTAATCATTTAACAGTTATTTTTTTCTGATTGGCCTGTCAAATAGTATTACTTACTTCTCGTGTCACAAAGCACTCCAGTGGGAATGTTGTTATTATACTGATGCCAAAACAGAAGCGACCAAATGTTGCCAGGTTATCATTTCTACAGTAGTTCTCAAATATGTCTCCTAAAAAGCATAAATTCTGATATAATTAAACATGTTTTTGTGGCATTTAAATTGCACAGACACCTGCTATACATTATGTACTACATGGTACCTTGTGTGTAGCCAGTGAAAGTTGTGTAGCCAGCAACGGCAAATCCAGCACTGATTATTAGTGCTGAGCCTACGGAGATGTGAGTGACTTGAGACCAGTTAGCAAGAGTGGGCTGCTCCAGTGAGCCATAGATAAGAAAGCTGTTGTGGTGGCATATGAAGGCTAAGGACAAAAACAGAGCAGAATATTGAAGTTCAGCTGACAAAAAACCACGCTGAAGAACAGTTTGAGGTGTTTCACACATGTGGTATTAATGGTAAACTGAGCATATTATTTATGTTACACTTTTACTTGTCCTAGCTTTCCAGCATATTAAAAAAAAAACATCAAAAGAGGCTGACAAGAATGCAGCTTTCCAGTAACAGCATTTTTTTTTTCTTTTGTGGCTGAGTGTCTCAAAATAATAGGCTTGATCTTCTTACAGTAAAGCTGGGTTGCAGGTCAGAGCTATGATGGATTTTGAAATTCTGAGCCTTAGCACTTGGATACTGATGAATAAGCAGTAATGGCTTAGTTAATACATTTTGGTCCCTTTTGATCAGGAAAACATGGACATACATGAGGCTCACTTAGTGTTATTGCCATGTAATGTAATGGTCTAATGACCAACAATTTTACAAAAGGAAAAAAAAATGTTGCAAGAAGATAGTCAGCAATAAGCCATCATGTTTCCGGTTTCATAATTAGTCCATTATCTATAAGCCTTAACTTGTTTGGTCTCTAACACTTCCTGAAAAAAGTCTCAACCACCAATCAAACTCATGTTGGTGTTAAGCAAATGACACACTCTTTCATGAAATTCCTGATGTCATAAGGCTGGTGTGCATGCTGTGCTTTTATTGTACTATTTTCTTTTCTTGTCTTGTGGTAACATACAGTACTACTAAAAGTGTTCTAGAGATGTACAATATCAGTAGAAGCTCAATGCACACAAACTCACCAAAAGACATTACACCTACTGCCTGAATCGCATTCCACTTTGCAAATGCCCATGCATCATCTGTGGGGAGGCTAGAGGGTACATTTATATATTCAGTCATCAAAGAACACAAACATACATCAGTTTGTCTGTAAAATTGATAAATAGGTGATTTTAAAAAGAACCCCATGTTTCACACACAAGTGCAATAAAGCAAAAATCTACGTGGATTAGCAAACTAGAGTATTCATTCATACATTTGGGGTCCAAAGGTAGCTGCTCTGATGATTACAATGATGAGGATGATAACTGTCAGCACCATTGACAGGAAGGACACCTGGTAACACATGTGAATATTTTATAAGCTGCTTTAACATCACCACAATGCGCTGGATGCTATAGAAAAACCAGACTTACCTTCCCAAGTCGCTCTATGTTTCGATAAAGCGAGAGGGGGAACGTGAAAACAACAGTTGATAATATGATCACAAAGTGACGCTCTGCGAGTATGTGATCTGGGCCAACTGTAACATAATAAATGTGAATACAATAAATGTCAGTGTTTATTTATTGCACGTTTTCTTATTTATAGACAGAGATTTCACGTTTCACTACACCTCCAGGAATTCTTTGAAAGACTTTGGTCAGTGTGTCACCGATTGTGATGTTGTAGCTGATCATCGCTGAAGGAGAAAAGTTCATTTTATTATTGCAATTCATTTTTGTTAACCAAAAGTCAATAGATGAACAGTAACAGGAATACTGCACTAAACAAATACTTTTCAGAGCATTAGCCAGAACATGCTAAAAGGCTTGATTTAATACTGAACTTACCAATGAAAGGATAAAGAAACTGCAGTCCAGATAAAATTACAAATCCAGGGAAACCAAATGTGCTGTGTACAAGTGACTGATAACTGTTTGTCCCTGACAGGTTTCCTCCTTTTATAAGTAGAATGATAGAGTAATCTTCCATGAAAGACAAAGTAAAAAAATATGTTATTTGTATTGGTTGCTTTTGTTTTGACTCATGTTTCGTGTGTTTTCCCCCCATAAAGATAAAAAATAAAATACATCTTTAGTAGGCTTACCTGTGATGAATCCAACAACTATCAAAAGAAGAAGGCCAAAGGGAAGCCCTGCCTGGTTCAATGCGTATGGTAAACCTGGTTAAATAAATAAATAAATAGGAAAATGTACTGCTGCAGCTGATAATGTGTATAATTTAAATTTACAATCTCCAGAAAGCAAAAACTGCAGAGTACAGAAGCAGCACAACATCTGCACTAGTTCTTAACAAACACATTTCAGTCTTTTTATTACTTATTTTAATGGGGTAAGCATAACAAAGAGTTAAATTTATGAAAGAGGGCAACAGGCGCTTGTCATATGATACAGCTGTGGGGCTTGAACAGTATGAAAGCTTCTCCTTGTTACACTGAAATGAGCAAAACTAACTGATTATTCAACAATATTTTTACAGAAATAACAGTTTGAAGTCTTTCAAAGGTTATCATCCAAGTAACTGTTTGCATATAATTTAGTTAGTGTGATAAAAGCTAAAGGCAACCCAATTAAATATTTACCTATTATTCCAGATCCTATAATAGAATTGATAAAATTAAAAGATGCAGATATCATTGAACTTCGCGACTTTCTGGCATCTTTTTGTAGAGGAATTAATGTGGTCCCTTCTTCAGAGTTTAACTGAAATGAATTTTTAAATGAAGAAAAAGAAGAAGAAGAGAAAATCAGTTAATAAGAAAGACTTTAGTCTGCTATTAAAATCCTGCAAGCATCATTTTAGACATACCTGCTGAGCCATTTTTGAACACCTGTTGTTGTCAGTCGTCTCATTCTCGCTTCTGTCTGTTTAGATGTTAACTCTCACATATTTGTGGGTGAAGTTTGTAAAAACGCCCCTCTGTTTCAGTTACTCGATTCAAAGCAAAAACGAAAATAACTCAACAGCGCCCTGGGTCGGTCGTTGGAATACGCTGCAAATTAAGCGTAAATGCAGTGATGCAGAATAGGGGGGGGATTCAGTTATATTAATTTTGTCAATGAGCCAAACCTACGGTAACTCAGTTCTTAGGGGAGGAGTAGTTTGCACTTTGACACTTGTGCCGAAATATGTTTGGACGCATGCAAGGAAATTGCGAATTAAAGGATTTATTAAAGGATTAAAGGCTCTGTTAAAGCTCCCGTTGTTGAGAAAAAAAAGATATACTGTACAGTACGTGTTTGTCTCACGTTGTGGGTTGTAAATATGAGATCAGGCGCTTTATTTCTCTTATATGCTAAACTACCCCCCCCCCCCCCCAAACGATACTGAGGCTACCACAGCAGAATCAGACGTAAAGGAAAATGTGCTAGTAACGATAACTGGTACCCGTATTTATTTATTTATTTAATTACTTATTTCCAAGATTAAACAGGAGTAACGAGTTTAATATTGTTGAAAGTCTGATGAAAAAAGCAGGTGTCAAATTTCGAGTAACAATTTTTTGTATTTAAACATTTATTTCTCCTTTGTTTTGTGTAGGTCCACGTTTTAACCACAATTCAGCCATTAGAAACACCCCATACTATACCACTATATGTATCCAGCAGAGGGTATCAGACTGACATACTGACTCTTAAAACTCCTGACTCACTCATCCACCCAACTTTATACAATAGATTCTTACAAGGAAAACGACGATGGTGCATATATAGTCTCCTGCTGTGCTACCATGAAGCGATAAAAACAGCTTTTTTGTGTGTTTTTTCAGCGATTACAGCATTTCGGACAGAACAAACCTGCCACCAATGACATCACGCCTCTTGGGCACAAAGAGAGTTGTAGAACACAATCAGATCTATTACTGTGGCTTAAGTTGTTACTTTCTGACTGAACTCCAGAATCTTATTCTGGACAATTACACGCAGTGATTTTCACCATAATAATATCTGGTGGTCTGCCCTTACTCGGTATTATGGAAGCTCCCCGGAATCGCTTTACTACAGTACTCCCTCCTGCGCGGAGGGGCGGACACGGTCTCTCTCTCTCTCTCTCTCTCTCTCTCTCTCTCTCTCTCTCTCTCTCTCTCAGGGTTTTCCTACCGGAATCGTGGAAATGACCAGGTCTGCGTCGGGAGAAGCGTCAAACACCATAATCGGATTGACAGCCGTATTTTAAATCATTCTAAAAAGTTTCATTTTTTCAAAATATTCTCCAGAGAAATCTCCACCTGGCAAGGATGGAAAACTAATGGTGAGTGGTAAACACAGCAACTTTTTATCCTAAATTTCCTTAAAAAAAAAAAAAGAAGAAGAAGAAGAAGAAAAAGTGTTTTTTTTTTGTTTTTGTTATTGTTTTTCTTTAAGTGGTCCTAATTATGAGAATTGTTTTAAAAGTTATTTTATTTTGGTTAATCATATAGAGATGGTGGTGATTGAGAAGTCTTACAGTGTTACATTTAAGAGACTATCTATCTATCTATCTATCTATCTATCTATCTATCTATCTATCTATCTATCTATCTATCTATCTATCTATCTATCTATCTATCTATCTATCTATCTATCTATCTATCTATCTATCTTGTTGCCTTTATTTAAATTGAAGGTTATCCATATATCTGCACAATATTTTTCAACCTTGGAAGTATGGCATAGTCTTTGTAGCTACATAAATGTTACTGATATCAGTTTTTATGGAAGCCCTGTGTAGGAAAAACATGATTGAGCTCTCAAGACAAGACAAGACAAGACAACAGATTGCGGTTTACAATATATTACAAACGTTAATGGCCATGGCAGCAATTATTAACCCACACTCCATTTTAGATGACTTCCTGTTTCCCCTACTGTAAACATCTTTATTAGATTGTTGTCAATTAGAGATGAGAGTGTTCTGTTCAGTCCTATCCGCACCGTATGGTAGTCTGACAGGTTGTTCATAAAAGCCTTTATTTCAGAGGTTGTTAACAGCTATTCTGCCAACGCCCTGGATATGCCAGACTGAATCTTGACTCCGTACCCCGTTGGAGACAGCAGCAGGCATTAGTTGTGAGCTAGAAATGTGAGTGTGTCACAAACCACCTCTTATCTCATCTAAGTACTAAGATGCACTTTGAGGTCATACAAATTAAGTTGCAGTAATGTACATAAAATATTAAAGCTTCTGTTTGACACTGTGTTTAATAGGCTAGGTCAGTCATCTATTGAAACTTATTACCACGAGTCAGTCTAATGTTTGGCGACTAATCAACTCCAAATACATTTTTTTGGCATTCTGTTCTGTTAGGGGAACAAATTTCTCTGTCTTAGGTCAGTACACAAACGCCTGTAATGCAGACTGGTTACTGATAAACTTAAGTGGGCACACTGAAGCTTTGAAGTGGTAGTGGCTCATATCTCAAGTTATGTATAATGAGTTGGGAACAGACTGACACAATGATGCATGCCTCTTTAGAGGTTACTCACTGCAGGCTGAGGTACAGGAAATCAAGGTTTATTTTGTGTTTGCAGATAATCATGAGACTTTTGGAAAGTTTGTCTTACTGTTGCAGCTGTTTTTTAGTTTGTGTCAAATAACTAAAAAATGTATGGTACTGGTACTGAGTGATTTACTTTTATATTGTGAAAGAACATGTCTCAATGCTATAGTCTATGAGCTGTCAAAGGCTTAATAGCTTAATAATAACTTAGGGAGCTAGAATATGGTAGGGCTACATGGATACAATAAACAAAAAAATATCTTTATTTTCATCCCTTTCTTATGTATCTTACTAGTACAGGTTTGAAATCCACTTTGCATTCAGAACTGCCTTAATTTTACATGGCATATATATATATATATATATATATATATATATATATATATATATATATATATATATATATATATATATATGCCATGTAAAATTATGAGTTATCTTTCTCGAAATTTGACTTAGTTTTTTTAAATTTCGGCTTATTAACTTGGAATTTAGATTTATTAACTCGAAATTTTGAGAGAAGTAACTCGAAATTTCGATTTAGCTCTGCCAATCCGTAATCTACGTGGAATGCACACTCAAAACCAGATCACAAATTGGTGCTTTTGAGAGTACGTTTGCTGATAGTAACGCCATGTGATTCAGCTAATACCACAAGGATTTCATCATTCGTGAAGCCACGCTGAAAATAATCAGCAATTTGTGCATTCATGAGTGGCTGTAATACCGGTAGCTTAGCTGTAGCATTTGTAGCTGTGGGCTTCAGCTTCTGGGTAACAAGGAAATTATGTCATTCACGAAAGAAAGATGGAAACTTTTTTTCTGTTGTTTTTTAGTGGCGGAAATGGGCTTCCATAGTTTTGACATCATAGTGTCACACAGTTGTTGCAGATTTGTCAGCTGCTCATCCAGGATGCAAATCTCCCATTTCGCCACATCCTAAAGGTTCTCTGTTGGATTGAGAGGTGGTGACTGTGGAGGTCATTTGAGTGCAGTGAACTGATTGTCTTGTTCAAGTGACTAGTTTGAGGTTATTTGAGCTTTCTGACACTGCATTACCCTGCTGAAAGTAGGCAACAGAAGATGGGTCTACTGTGGTCACAAATGGATGGACATGGGTCATCATCAATGGTCAGGTAGCCCGTAGCCTATAAAACCATGCACATTTGGCCCAATATTAAGAAATACCATTGCATCACCATCTGCAGCCATAAACGTTAATACGAAGCAGGATGGATCAATGATTTTGTGTTGTTTATGCCAAAATCAAATGAGTGTCTAATGACTGTAGTTATTTAAGGAATAGTGAGGTTGTTGTTAGATTTCAGCATCACCTATACAGTATTTATAAATATTAGGAAGGTTTAGCTTAGTGTGATGGCCAGAACATAAGAGAAGTGCTCTTTGGGTCTTGTTTTGTGCTAAACATTTCCTCTTCAAGAAGGAACTTATCTTCACCATATAAAAGACAGTAGCAGAGAGTTGCCACTGGCCTGATGGTTTTATTTTGGAAACTCTGGCCTAAATTTCTTTTATGTTGAATTTGGATTTTGAGCTGACAGATGAAAACCACAGATGAACTTTAGTTCAACCTGAATTCTAATTCTGATGAACATCTGTTATTTAGTACAAGAGTAGAGAAAAACACATTTAAAATGTTGTATCTACTCTTGCCCACATATAGGCAGATGTTACATGAGTTATCTTCTACTCTATGACCTGTCTAGCTGATTTCCTTGAAAGTATAAAGCCAAGGTGGAATTCAGTGAGTGAATCTGATTAGCATCATCATCTTAAATTTAATTTGATGTCTGGTACCCTTGATGTGACCTAACACTGACCATGAACACTACAGCTGCTCTACACCAGTTCAACATAATGCATTACTGTAAAATTAACAACAGAGATGCAAACTAACCAGCATAGCCTGCATTAAATCCCATAGTATATTTTATTCAACCTTTGAATAACAGAAAGTTAATATACACTCAACAAAAATATAAACGCAACACCTTTGTTACTGCTCCCATTCCCCATGGGATGGACGTAGAGACCTAAAATTCAGTCCAGATACACAATATAACCATCCCTCCCAAACAGTGGTCACAAATCAGTCCAAATGTGTGGTAGTGGGCACATCTGCCATATTGAGATAATCCATCTCACCTCACAGGTGTGCCACATCAGGATGCTGATCTGACATCATGAGTAGTGCACAGGTGTACCTCAGACTGCCCACAACAAAAGGCCACCCTGGAATGTGCAGTTTTGTCTCACAGCAAAATGCCACAGATGCCACAAGCAATGAGGGAGCGTGCAACTGGCATGCTGACAGCAGGAATGTCAACCAGATCTGTCGCCCGTGCATTGAATGTTCATTTCTCAACCATAAGCCGTCTCCACAGGCGTTTCAGAGAATATGGCAGCACATCCAACCGGCCTCACAACCGCAGACCTCGTGTAACCACACCAGCCCAGGACCTCCACATCCAGCAGGTTCACCTCCAAGATCGTCTGAGACCAGCCACCCAGACAGCTGCTGGAACAATTGGTTTGCACAACCAAACAATTTCTGCAAAAACTGTCAGAAACCGTCTCAGGGACGCTCAACTGCATGCCCGTCGTCCTCATCGGGGTCTTGACCTGACTCCAGCTCGTCGCCGTAACAGATTTGTGTGGGCAAATGCTCACATTCGATGGCGTCTGGCACGTTGGAGAGGTGTGCGCTTCACGGATGAATCATGGTTCACATTGTTCAGGGCAGATGGCAGCTGAGAATGTCCCAGTTCTTGCATGGCCAGCATACTCACCGGACATGTCACCCATTGAGCATGTTCGGGATGTGCTTGACCGGCGTATACGACAGCGTGTACCAGTTCCCACGAATATCCAACAACCTCGCACAGCCATTGAAGTGGAGTGGACCAACATTCCACAGGCCACAATTGACAATCTGATAGACTCCATGCGACGATGTGTTGCACTGCATGAGGCAAATGGTGGTCACACCAGATACTGACCGGTTCTGGGTCCCCAGACCCCCAATAGCGCAAAAAACTGCACATTCCAGGGTGGCCTTTTGTTGTGGGCAGTCTGAGGTACACCTGTGCACTACTCATGATGTCAGATCAGCATCCTGATGTGGCACACCTGTGAGGTGGGATGGATTATCTCAATATGGCAGATGTGCCCACTACCACACATTTGGACTGATTTGTGACCACTGTTTGGGAGGGATGGTTATATTGTGTATCTGGAATGAATTTTAGGTCTCTACGTCCATCCCATGGGGAATGGGAGCAGTAACAAAGGTGTTGCGTTTATATTTTTGTTGAGTGTACTTTAGTTTCCTTTGCAGGAAGTTTCCCAATGTGGAGAAAACATACTGAAACTTCAGCAACACACTGTGTACAGATCGAGTATTTAAAATGATTGAGGAAATTACAAGCTTTACATTTCCAATTCATCAAATGTCACTGAGCAGTCCTTACCTTTAAAAATAATCACATTTCTTCCTCTCCTGGTCTAGTCATTTTTACAACTTCATTATATCAGACAAGCTACTGCCCCTTGTTCACAAGGGGTTTGCTTGTATGTTTGATTTAGAAGATTTTTACACCAACTTTCCTGTGTCTCCTTCCAGTAATGAAGCAGGAGTCTTTTGCTTGTTTCACAAAGATTTCCTGAGAAATAAAGCAGTGTATCTTTAGCTAGCAGACACACTCTATGACATGCTGCACAGAAACAGCTTGTGTGTTTGTTGATGTTTGCTGCGCTGTTTGAATGTTTCATTTGAAATTTCCTGCCACTTAAAGAAACATTACTCGGTTTTATCTTCTACTGTGACACTAGAGAGATGCTTAAGTAACATGACTGCAACTTATTGGCATTGGCCCCAAAACACTGTTCTGGATCATTCCAGCCAACTTTAACCCTGAACATACTGCAATTGTGATACATTAATTTTTTAACCTTTTTCTTTATGTGCAATAAGCACCGGGAATGGATATACTAATAGGGTTTTCATGTATATTTTACTTTTTCCTCCATTTAGGTTCAAATCAGTTTAATGTTTGAAAGTGTGCAGTGAAGGGAAATAATAATGTTCCTCAAATTTCTCATTTGATTATTTTACGAAGTAGAGACAAGAGACATTTAAAATGTAGGGAGTAAAAGTAAAAAGTTCTCTCTTGATTATTATAATTACATCACACATGTATAACTCGATGATAGGAACAGCTGATTGACCACTGATTTAGGGATTGATTTCTTGCATGTGTTTGATCACTGCACAACATGTCGAAGTTGTCTTTGACACTGTTGCATTTGGATCATTCTGAAACTCTCTGGCAGGGAACCCAGAGAGAGATATGGCACAGTCTATGAGGCATTCATATTTAATAGTGCATAGGTCTTTGTAACACATCACATTAGTCAGGCCTATTAGTAAGATGGATCTTTTCCTCTCACTGCTCTGTCTCAGTGAGGGAAAAGCAGACTTTTTCCATTTTGAGGGATGGAAGAGGAGTTGAGTCTCACCTGGAATTGATCATTGTCATGTAAAATCTTAATTTTATCTACTGACGAGCAGGTAATTAGATCTAATTTTACCATAGCTGAAAGGAATTTATATGTATGACAGCCAACTCTAGGCTCATTATAGCTTCCTTTTTCCTCTGACCTAAGAGCAGAAACAAACACACTGTTCTTTCATCTCGATTAAAAGTTATTAATGAGAGGCAGGTCATAACAAAATGAATTTTAAGTTGCATTTTTTTAGCCAAATAATGTTGGATGTAAGAAAAATATAACTCTGCTATTTAAACTGCTCCCTATATTGTGTCTTTCTAATGCCAGAGGCCTTTCTGTTGCTCGAGGCTAGCTGCTCACTCTGAAGGTGCAGCATGAAAAGATGGAACAGCTGCTTGTACCACCAGGTCCAGACAGCTTCCGTCCCTTTACCCATGAGTCACTTAAAGCCATCGAAAAACGGATTACTGAAGAGAATGCCAAGAAACCCAAGGGAGAGAAGAAAAAGCGCAAAAATGAAATTAAGCTCAGACCAAACCGTGACCTGGAGGCAGGCAAACCACTCCCCCTTGTATATGGAGACATTCCTCAAGGACTGGTGTCGATACCACTGGAGGACCTGGATCCCACCTACAGTAATCAGAAGGTAGGTTTGCTTAAATTTAAACTTGAACACTAAGCTCCAAGTTTAGATCTTTTCTCTGTAGTGTTCGAGTTTACATTAATTCATTATTTATGAAATTGCACGCAGCTATTAAAATTCCACTGTTGGTTTTAAATCTTAAATGAGAAGTCAATAAAAATGATTCATATGAAATTTGTCAGCAGTATATAAAGTTGTTAGCAAAATTCTCGAACCACCCTTAATTTCTTTATGTTTAAAATGCTTTAAAAATAAAGAAATGAGGAGTGGCCCAAGACTTTTGCACAGTGTTGTATGATGTTGTATACTTTTGTAAACTATAATGCAAGACAGTCAAAGAGTATCCACATAAGAGTATAAAGATGTATAAATGTCTGTCTGTCTGTTTCTCTCCCCCAGACTTTCATTGTATTAAACAAAGGAAAGGTCATTTTTCGCTTCAATGCCAGTCCAGCCTTGTACCTCCTGAGTGCCTTCAACCCTCTACGAAGGCTATCAATTCAGATTCTGGTACACTCATATCCTTTCATTAAGATATGAATCTGATATGCATGAATAATGTTGATGTTGAGCTGACCTAAGCCCAGGATTACATGTTCACTTTGTTCCTTTATTTACATGAAAAAATTATTTTACTTTCACAACAAAATCTGTTACTTCCTTGACAACTGTGTGTAAATTGTTCAACGTGGTGATCATGTGCACTATTCTCACTAACTGTGCATTTATGACACTGAACCAACCACCTGACTGGGCAAAGAACGTGGAGTAAGTGCTCTACAAACATACATAACATACACACAGTGTAGATACTGTGAAGAGTAACTGGTGTTCCTTTTTCTAACAGGTACACATTTACAGCGATTTACACCTTTGAATCCCTCGTTAAAATTTTAGCTCGGGGGTTCTGTATAGGAAAGTTCACATTTCTAAGAGATCCCTGGAATTGGCTGGATTTCTCTGTCATTGTCATGGCGTAAGTACAGGGCTTTTTCATTATTTTTGTAGTTTTTGTCACACATTTGGAAAAGACTCACCAAAGAAAAAAATAATCAGGCTTTCATAAACAGAGACGTTGCTTGTTGGCGTTAATTTTTTGGTACTGACTGTAGCTTCATTATTGCTGTTTTGCATGACTCTATGTTACACCTATTGTCATCTCTGTAAATAATAATAATAATGGATTGCATTTATATAGCGCTTTTCAAGACCCTCAAAGCGCTTTACAATTCCACTATTCATTCACTCTCACATTCACACACTGGTGGAGGCAAACTACAGTTGTAGCCACAGCTGCCCTGGGGCAGACTGACAGAGGCGAGGCTGCCATATCGTGCCGTCAGCCCCTCTGAATTCTAAAATAATTATAATTTTTCTTGCAGGTATGTAACAGAGTTTGTATCCCTGGGCAATGTTTCAGTCCTTCGGACATTCAGAGTATTAAGAGCTTTCAAAGCAATTTCTGTCATTCCAGGTAAGCAGTTACCATATTTGTTTTGTTCTTTCATAGTTTAACAGTACGCTCATCCAATTGCCCACCCTTGAGCAGCTATGGACCCACCAGTGCCAAATTTATATTATCACACCTATTTCCCAGAGTTGTTTCACCAGTATGAAAATGAACAATTCTTAACAATCCCAACCTATAAAATGTATGTCATCTTATAGGTGGTTCTGTAGATGGTAATGAAAAAAGAGAGAGAGAATCTGCTCTTATTCTAACTTATTTCCAAAAGATCAACAAGATGGATTAAATAGTGGTGGCACTGGGTTTAGACAAACAAACAAACAAAAAAATATACTAAAAAAAACATGGATGCGTTCTAAGTGGATTACCACTAAAGGAAAAGCTCACTGGTATCCCTTTGTATATTTACTGTCTCTCGACTGACTGCAAGTGATTTTGTGTTTACAGGCCTAAAGACCATTGTTGCTGCATTGTTCCAGTCAGTGAAGAAGCTTGCTGATGTGATGATTCTCACAGTTTTCTGCCTGAGTGTCTTTGCCCTAATAGGTTTACAACTGTTTATGGGCAATCTGAAAAATAAGTGCATACTAGAAGAATTTGTACAAAGCTATTGGAATAACACAAATGTGACTGTGGACTTTGAAAATAAAAGTAAGTATTTGATCCCAGAAAAAAAAAAGAAATTTAAAAATTAACACTCAAATCTCAAATTAACACATAACAATTAAAAATTTAAATGAAAAGTGTATATTGCAACACAGAAGTCACAGCTAGTCGAGATAATTTACTCAATCACTGCTGTACATTGCAGAGCTGTACCCCATTTCTACTGTTGATACTTACATCAGTATTTGTGATTGACCTCCAACAAACCACTGCTATTAAATACTACTATTTTCTCTCTGTTCCAAACAGGTCTTTATTATTACCTTCCTTCGAATAGCAAAGATCCACTGCTTTGTGGAAACAGCAGTGGAGCTGGGTAAGCAAGCTTCCTCTCCAGTTACCAGAGTACTGAATAAAGTCCATATTAAACACAACCCCAATGCCAAAAAAGTTGAGACCATGTGTAAAATATAACTAATAACAGAATGTAACAATTTCCTCATATAACCAAATTTTATCAACATGGTTAACAGAAAACACATCTCAGCTTTAAAATGAGAAAATGTGCCATTTTAAGAAAAATTCTGGCTCATTTTGAATATAATGCGTTGTGGTGCCAGTTCCTTTAGAGCTTAACAGAGTCGATTTCTTGCAGGCATTGTCCAGAGGGGTACATATGCTACAAAGCGGGAAAGAACCCAGACTATGGTTACACCAGTTTTGACTCATTTGGTTGGGCCTTCCTGTCACTGTTCAGACTGATGACCCAGGATTATTGGGAAAACCTTTACCAGCAGGTACATTAAAAATGTTATTGTTGTCGGTGATCCTTGTTCTTCTTCACTGGCCAACTAGTCTGATAGCATTTGTTGTAGACAGACTGTTCATACATCAAAAGACAAGCTTGATTGTGCTCTCGGTGCTTCTATTAAGATTTTTGAAATTTTAGACTATTTCAGAAATATTCCAACCTCTTTACTTTCAATTTTTTGGCTGCACCAGAAGCAAACTACAATCAACAATGCCACTGCAGTTTCTCCAGAAATTGCGTTTAGTTAACTTTGTTTCTATGAAAACATCTTTGGTTGTTTTTAAAAACACTTTTAACCTCACGTGGTTCAGATTGTTCCATATTTTCTTCTCTGAGGACATGAAATGGCAGTGCCTGCTGTTTATGGGAAAAGCATTCTCCTACCACAGTATTATAGAGAGTATTCAGAGCTTTCTGTTTAAACAAACATCTAAATGCCGTGCAGGTGCATCTTGGTCAAAGGAAAACAAGAGTCCTACTGAGGCAAACATAGGCAAACATAGTTTCAATGGCTGCAAAAAAACATGTGGGTGTACTGCAAATAGGCTACTGCCTACATTGTACTATCAAGAAAAGCAAACAGTAATACAATAAGACTCCCATAAGCAGGTCTTTTAAGCACTCTGCACTAACTTTGACTAATAATAAGCCATCAAATGATCGCATTTCTTGAATGTGAAATGGAACAGAAACGGTTTTCTTTGTTTGATAGTTATATGTAAAGTCATATTAACATTTATCCATATACACATACAGATTTGACAATCCATCAAATAAAAAAGTACTTAATATATATTACTGAAGAAAAAAAATGTAGGTAATATGCAACTCTATTAAACTTTTGTCATATTCCCCTTCTCTCCATGAGACATGTGACAATAGCATCATGGATGATTTATAACACTAAACACTAGAGTCCAGTGTGTCACTGTAACTAATTTTGCAGTGTATTTATGTCATAACTTTTGTATTTTTTTTTTTTTTTACATGTACTACCAGATAATTTGGCTGATATAGTTTTGGTCTCAGGCAAATGAATATAAGAGCAATTATGTTTTGTTGCTACAGCATAATTACATAGATGGTAGAGTGGCTATTTCAGTTTTAGAGCAAGAAATAACATAAATGCAAAATGTGGAATTCAAAGTTTAAGGTTTTTACACACGCTGAATATGAAAACATGGAGTTTAGAGGAGTTAAATGGACAGGCGGGATTTGTAGTAAATTAGCTGACAAGTTATTAATCTTCGTTTTGTTGTTACTATTACTCTATAACAATGATGAATGAAAGAAAATCAATGTGAAGATCAATGAAAGACATCGACTTTAGATTTTGAAATTTGAAACGGTAATGAAAGTGATTTGTTTGAGGTTTTACCAAGCTCTACTGTGATTTTCTTTCATACCTAGAAAATTGAATTTTATCATCTTTACTTCTGAGTTGAGAAATTCTAGAAATATAAGTTAACATGTGCAATCTTTAGATACACCTCTATTTGAAGGCCCTCTAACTTTTAAAATATCCACTGTATTAGGGTGGATTTTTGCATGTCTCCACACTTTAGCACAGTGTAGTCATGTCAGCCAAAGGCAGGTATATAAAAATATTGTGAAAAATTGTAAAAAGTTAGAATAAAAAAAGAAATACGGGAACCTAGTGTTTTATGTTAAGTATAAATACTTTATTTGAAAAAGTGCAAAATCTTGTTTGTTTTTTCGTTGCAGACTTTGCGTGTATCTGGGAAGCCCTACATGATTTTTTTTTTGCTCATCATATTCCTTGGTTCCTTCTACCTGATCAACCTGATTTTGGCGGTTGTAGCCATGGCCTATGAGGAGCAGAACCAGGCCGCTGCAAAGGAAGCTCAGGAGAAGGAAGAGGAGTTTAAGGCCATGGTTGAGCAGCTGAGACAACAACAAGAGGAAGCTCAGGTACATTGATTGAGTCCTTAAATTTCTCTCAAGATATAATTTTAGTTAAGTCAAAATGCATCTTCTTTGAAGTACTGTAAATTCAATCAGAATAGAATAGAATAGAATAGAATAGAATAATCATTTAACTGTCCCACAAGGGGAAAGAAACATACACAATTTTTTTCATACATATTTATATCCAGGACAAATGTTACTATAAACAGAGTACTGTACAGTTATTAAATAAAATAAAATTAACTACAGATAAGAGGCAAAGCCAGGTTGTAGTGCAAATCGGTTGATTAAATTATTGCAGTTACAGAGCAGATGTAAACATCTATGATTGTTGGGAGCATTTTTGATTGTACAGTCTGACAGCTGCAGGGAGGAAGGACCTGCGGAAACGCTCCTTCTTGCATCTAGGATGTAGCAGTAGCAATCAGTTTTGCAATTTTGTATTTTATATAACTGTATACTGGTTGTGTAGTAATTTTATATAATATCTACACGTTTAAGTGGTAAGTGTGATTTATTACCTATATAGTCATTCGAGGGCTTTTCCCTTTTTTATTTAGGACACTTTTTTTCCTTTCTATGTTTATATTTTACCAGTAGAGAAATCCATCCACACATTCTCATGATCATTTATTCAGCTAAGGTCTCTGGATTTGGGCTCCTGTTTTATTTAAGACTTGCCTCTCTCTTGGGAGGTCTATGGGGGTTGCAAATCTATCACTATCAACAACACAACTATTTACACCTACAGCACATTTTAAATCTCAACCAATAACATTTGGAGGCAATTGGATTACCTGGAGGAAGCTTGCACAGGCAGACTGGCAGAATGCACACATGCAGAATGGGCCTAACTCTCCAGGAGGTTCACATCAAGAATCAGACATTTATCAGCCTGTTTACCATCAGTGTCTTATCTTCCCTCTTCTAGGCAGCACTAGCTGCTGCAGCAGCAGTGGGTGGGGAGGCCGGTGATAAAGTTGGTGGCACAGAGAGTTCCTCTGATGCCTCTAAGCTGAGCTCCAAAAGTGCAAAGGAGAGACGCAACAGGCGAAAGAAAAAAAAGGAGGAAGAAGGAAAAGAGACCGAGGGAAAACTTCCCAAATCTGAGTCACAGGACAGTATACAGAGGGCTCGCAGTCGCTTCTCTGTGGATGCAAACCTGCTCAAATATGACATGAAATGCTCATCTGCACATCAGGTATTTTTCTATGCCATGAAAGCGATATTATCTTTTCGGTTCTAAAGCTCCTTTCACATCTTCATGGTGTATTATATTTTATTACTATACGGTACTTTATTACTGTAGCTTTACTACACTTATTGTAAATTACTCTAGAATGAAACAATCCTAAACAGTTGGGACCCTATACAAAATGCAAATAAATACAGAATGCAATTTTTACAAATCTCACATTTTATTCACAATAGAACACAGGAAACATATCATCTGTTTAAACTGAGGCATTTTACTATTTAATGAAAATTACTGTCTCATTTTGATGGCAGCAACATGTTTCAAAACTGGAGGCAACAAAAACTTAAACCTGAACCTGTCCTACTTGTTTTTCGATATATTGCTGGCATTGAATTTCCGATTTAGCCATTATATTTCTTAAATGGCGCTTTTCCAGATCAGACTTTTGTTATGTTTTCGATCTTCTACTGTGAATACAATTTGGGTTTATGTGCTTTGCAAATTAGTGTATTCTATTATAAGTTACATTTGTTCCAACTCGGCTTGTACAAATCCTTTTTTTTCATAATTTAAATTAATCTTTTTTTATTTATTTAAATTGCCAAATTATAGTGGCATTTAATGCAGTGTTCAATATGGTGAAATATTCATTGTTGACATTTTTCAATATAACTTTATTTCAAAATCATGTAAAAAGTACTGACAGTACCAGTTTTAAATTCACTCCAGTTTCAGTAATTTATTAAAAGACGACTCAAAATGACAGTCTGTGATCACTCTCTTTAATTTGAATGGCAGATATATATTCAGAAAGCTCTTTGTAAGCCTTGTCAGCGAGAAGATTGACTGACTTTTGTCAAACTCTTGCAGGGCTCAAAATGACTGAAAGGCAGGAGAAGCAAATGGACTGACAATGTGGCTATCAAATTTAAACTTACACATTGCAGCCATTTGATTTTTTAGGTTGTATGTGTATGTATTATAATTTTTTAGGATATTTAATATGGATTTACTAACTTTTCTAAACATTCATGAGCTGCTAACAAATTGTTTTGATTTCTTTTATCTCATGTCATTAATCTAAATGCAACCTTTTCTTTACTGCCATCACACTTTTATTGCCATCGGTTTCATCACTTTCATCATCATCTTCTGTCTTCATCAAATTCTTTAGTTCCTATCATATGCCATCATCAGGATATATTTTTTATGAGCAATTTCCTTCTTGCAACAATTCATCATGATCATCGTCATCATCCCCATAATCATCATGCTTTCCTTCTCCACTATCATGATCATTATCATGATCTTTACTGTTCTCATTAACAGTTTTAATTTTGCATTTTTATTGAAATCATCATCATCGTGAAGTTTTTCTCACCAAAGAAATCGTTCCTTTTTTTCTTCATTTGTACATATGAAGATCGTTGTCTCTCTCTTCTGTCCTCTTTTTGATTGTCATATATCACATCCATCGGAGACTATCTTTCTCTCCTAGTCTTTTCTGAGTTTTCATGGACCCCTCTTCTCACCCAGAAGGAATAGCAAGACCAGCCTTTTCAGTTTCCAAAGTCAAGCCCAGGATGTGGGCTCAGAAAATGAATTTGCTGATGATGAGAACAGCATTTTTGAGGACACCCTGAGTCGGAGGGGCTCTTTTTTTCTTCCCCAAAGGTGTGATCGACGCAGCAGCAGTATGAGCCAGTGCAGCTTCTTTTCACATCGCAGATTTCAGCCCCGTGAGATCAGGCACAGCTCTGTAGACTGCAATGGCGTTGTGTCTCTGGTGGGTAGGAATGCACTCCCTTCATCACCCGGGGGGCTCCTTCCACCTAAAGTGACGTTAGATATGGCCTCCACTGGAGACAATGTAAGAAAGGGTTCTGTAGCCCAGACAGCCCAATAACTTGCTTACTGTATTGCTCTGTTTTTGTTTGTTTATTTTGGCCTTTTCATCTTTCTGGCTCTTATACACACACATTTATTACACACATATGTCACAAACTATGCTTGTCAGTTTTTTGTTTTGTTTATTTCTCAGTTATTTTAGCAAGCTATGCAGCTTAGCATGTCAGAAAATATAAGTCACAACTTTTCTAAACTCAAATGAACCTTGGAATTTTAACTTAAACTTAAACTCTTCCTGAGTCTATCAATGATACAATAATGGACTCTTGGTTATTGAAATGGCTCAAGTGCTTTTGATTTATACTGCTGCTTTGTGCTTTTGGACAATGATAGGCAGAGCTGTAGCTTCTAACTATATGATCAATGTACCAATACTATGTCAGTTATTCCAGAGCTTTACTGTAAGATATTCTTTTTGGATAGTTTAAAGATATGCAGCTTTCAGTGGAACAGTTTCCTCTGCTTTTTTTTTTTTCATTTATTTAGTAAATGTAATGCGATGATAAATATTTATGCTTGTACTGTAAAATGCAACATATTTTTGTATGGTTACATTTTATGTGTAAAATTTGTTTCTATCCCTAGGCTGACACCACTGACACAGAATATAGACAGAGCATTGGAGGAATAAACCAGGGATATATGGACTACCTTCAGAGCCCAGAGGCCAGACAGAGAGCTCATAGTATTGCTAGTGTCATAACCACCACAATGGAGGGTAGGTGTTTTTCACCATGGCATGAATAGCCAATCCTGACTATATCTGTGGTGTTAAAAAAGTTAAATTGTACTTTCACACAAAATATGTTTTGCAATCAGAACTTGAAGAGTCACGGCAGAAGTGTCCTCCTTGCTGGTATGATTTTGCCCACACCTTCCTAATCTGGGAGTGTTGTCCAGGATGGCTGAAATTAAAAAAAATTGTCAAACTAATCGTGATGGACCCATTTATGGATCTATTCATCACCATCTGCATTGCACTAAACACATTGTTTATGGCCATGGAACATTATCCAATGAGTGATGGGTTCCAAAGCATGCTTGCTGTTGGCAATAAGGTTAGTTCAATTTAGAGAATATTTTTTAAATATAAATATCTATTGATTTTATTAATCTTCACTGGGGTTTTTCTTTGTATGCGTCTGTGTGTGTGTGTGTGTGTGTGTGTGTGTGTGTGTGTGTGTGTGTGTGTGTGTGTGTGTGTGTGTGTGTGTGTGTGTATAGATATTCACCGGCATCTTCACGGCTGAAATGGTCTTCAAGGTGATTGCACTGGATCCATACTATTACTTTCAGGAGAGATGGAATATCTTTGATGGGATCATTGTCAGTTTAAGCTTGATAGAGCTTTGTTTGGAAAATTTGAAGAACATGTCTGTTTTGAGATCATTCCGATTGGTAAGTCTAAATATAATTTAAACTTGCATCAAGAAGCAAGCGAAACCTTTGGAATTATCTGTATCTTTGTATACATTTATTACAGTGTTTGCCTGTGTTCAGTATATTCAAACTTGCAGTCACTTAGCAAATAATACCAAAAGATCTGAGTTGGTTAGGAAATACCAAACCTGAAGAGCAGGTTTACTCTGCTATAATTAAATAAATAATCAAACAATATGTTACAAGATCCACTCATCCACTCAGCACCCTGCTGTTTATTTGGTTAGCTTTGGCTTTGTTACCTAATGCTATAATCAGACTATGAAAATAGTGGTCGGAGACTGTGGCATGATCGAAATTATTGCAAATAAGTGCAATGAACTTACTCATTGCCTTTGAAATGGTTAGTTCTATGCAATTACTGGGCAACCACAGATTTTTTTTCCCACTCTCAGCCAGAGGTTGTCATCCTATTTTTACTCTAGTGTGACTCAGCCATTAGATTTCACACCCCTGACATGCTGACAGAAAGAACATGCAGCACAGCATACAATGTAAAAAATCCCAATGTATACCACTATAAAAACATTTGATAATAAAAATAATTTTAGCTGTGAGGGAGCATTATAATTTGAGGCTGGTTTACTGTCACTATCTCTGGTTAAGCACTTAAAAAAAAAAAAAAGGAAAGACAAAACTTGGATCTACATAGTTCCTAAGGATTTATATGCTTCTATTTGTAACAAATGCAATAGCATGTATGTTGTGTTGTATTTTGAGTTAGGAAATAACTTCTGTTTCCTCTTGTTTTACAGCTTAGAGTATTCAAGTTGGCTAAATCCTGGCCCACTCTAAATAAACTGATCAAAATAATTGGTAATTCAGTGGGGGCTTTGGGCAACCTGACACTGGTCTTGGCCATTATCGTCTTCATCTTTGCTGTGGTGGGCATGCAGCTATTTGGAAAAAAATACAAGGACTGTGTGTGTAAAATTTCTGAGGACTGCACACTTCCTCGTTGGCACATGAATGACTTCTTCCATTCATTCCTCATTGTTTTCCGGGTGCTTTGTGGAGAGTGGATAGAAACCATGTGGGACTGTATGGAAGTGGCTGGGATTCCCAAGTGTCTCACTCTCTACATGATGGTCATGTTTATAGGAAACCTTGTGGTACATTACATTTTATGGTCAATTCATTAATTCATTAATCTGTTTAAAAATGTAATTCCCAATTTAGTAACCTGTTCATTATTCAGTTTTACAGTAATATGTGCTCTTTTGTTATTATCAGTTACAAATCTTATCTTGTATATCATTACCTTATAGGTATTGAACCTCTTCTTGGCTCTTTTGCTGAGTTCATTCAGTGCTGACAACCTGGCAAAGCAAGAAGATGACCCTGAGTCAAACAATTTGCAAATTGCCATGGCACGCATACACAAAGGCATTGCCTTCACAAAGTCGGTGCTTCGAAGCACCTGCAGCAGCACCTGCCTCAGAGATAAGAAACAAAAGAAGGATGAGGAAAAATCTCTGGATGAACTCCACAAACCTTTAGGGTCAAACGGAATCTCCAATCATGGCAATGGAGAGGTGATTGGCGTGGACAAAACTGGGGACAAATACATAGTCAGCAGCAGGAGTGATGATTCCATAATGTCGTTCATCAACAACCCTAGTGTGACTGTCACTGTTCCTATTGCTATCGGAGAGTCTGACTTTGAAAATCTTAACACTGAGGACTTCAGCAGTGCATCATCAGATGCAGTAGGATGCCCTGCGGTAAGGATCCTGTTGGTCAAACTGCTCTCTCTAGATTCCTGATTTCTGTTTTAGAGCACATTTTTTAAATGACATTGCAAGTTAAATGTTTATGACATGTAATGCAATCACATAGGACTTTGGTTTAAAAGAACACTGTTGGTGAGGTAAATTAGATATTCATTACCATACAGCAAAGGACAGAATTGTTAGTCGTCTATAACTTTTCACAAATTTTTCCAAGTCCTGTTTAACAGAGAAAGGAATTTTAACACATCCTAGTGTTCATTTCCAAACATCCTAGTTTTTTTTTATTCTTACATTATTTTACTTTGCACACAGAAACAAAATTATTTCACAAAAACTTAAAAATACCAGGTTCAAAATTCCAGAGTATTTGAAATTCTTCTCTTGCTACATCTGCCAAGCTTGTTCTGTACTGTGTGGCTCTCTTTGAATTTCTTGATGAAATTTCTTCCCTTCCTGACACTTGGAAATGCAGTGATCACTGTGTATATCCATCTCCTGAGCATGAACAATTGCTTTTCTCTAAACTCTTTTGTCTAAACTCATTTATTTTGTTTTTGGTAAGATGCTGTCTCAAGTGATGGCTCAAGCCCTACCTGAGGTTTTCATACTGTGTGTAAATTGGAAGATAACTTTCAGGTTTAATTGAATTTTACAAGCTTTGAACATGAAAAAAGCTCAAGCACCTTATTGCACAGCAGAGGTTTATAGTATGGCTCAATAAAAAAAGGTCAGTTTTTCAGGGCACTCATTATAGTGACACTGGTCATTTGGGGGTTTTTCCATTCTTGTATTGTATGCAAATAGAAGAAGTGAAGTGAAGTGAAGTGAAGGACTTAGCCTACAATCTACAGTCATGGCAATGACATGTATCATGATACTTTCCCTAACTGCACATATACCATAGCCTTCTAACAAGAAGAGACCATATAGACGGGAAAATACCAGTGTGCACATTACATTATGAGCCATTTAAGTCTGAGTGCTAGGGAGCTTAATCCTCCTACTAAGAGGACGGTGTTTTGTGTTGTAGGAAAGGAATATATTGAGTCTCTATAATATTACTGTTGCATTGTTATTGCTGCTGTCCGTGAATGTATTTATTATTTGGATGGGTAACAGAAAAAAATAATATTTCTTGGCAGTATTTTAAAGGAAGGGTTGTATTGTTTCTGCTTACTTGTTGTTGCTTGATACAGATGCTGTAAGAACTCCTTACAATACATCAGACTCATCAAAGAGTGCCCTGCTTATGAGAAGAATCAAATAACCCTTTAACAGAGATTAAAGGGTTATAATTCTTTGATGACTTTAATTCACTCACTTGATTTGTTTTTTCTAATATGTTTCCCCCTCCCTCGTGTATGTTAATGATTAAACAATTATTTATTTAACAAAAAGTAAGTCAAAATATATATATAGAATTAGCATGTGACATGTACACCCCATGATTCAGTAACTTACTGAACCACTTTTAGCAGCAATAACTTGAAGTAACTGTTTTCTGTATGACTTGAGAAATTTTAGCCCACGTGTTTACAACATTGCTTTGAAGGCCTTCATTTATGAACACATTTTTATAGCCATTATGTTGTAGATCTGTTGATGTGGTTGGGACAATTTTCCTATTTGGGCCACGTTTTAGCTTTTGGACAGATGCACTCACATTTGACTGCAGAATACTTATAAAAAGTAGTTTATGTTGGACTCTATGACTCTTTGGCAGTTGGTATGATGTGTTTGCTTTTCACCAAACGTGGCACTGTGAATTATGAGCAAACATGTAGTTTGTTAAAATTCAGTTTTTCACGAGTTTTTCAAGCCATGCTGGCACGTTATTTTTAAAGACCAGAGGCTTTCTCATGGCAATCCTTCCAAACGCGTCATAATTGTTTAGTCTTTATTTAATTGTACTTTCGTACTGTCAAACCTCTTGAGTTTTTTGTAGTTTCCCTGAGCATTGCATGGCCTGACTTTGGGGTGAATTTGCTGAGATGTCCACTCCTGGCAAGCTCAGCCAGGAGTGGATGGTTTAAAATGATTTCCACTTGTGGTTAAACTTTCTGACTGTAGAATGATGGACTTCATACTTGTTCAAAATGCTCTTATAATCCTTCCCAGATGTATGGGAAGTAAAGAATGCTTCTCTAACTTCACTGCTGATGCCTTTCCTCCTTGGCATTGTGTTAACACATACCTGAGTGCTCAGACCAGCAAACTGCCAAAACGTCTGCTTTTATAGATGTGCTCACACCCGGAAGTGTGTAATATATAACGTTTTGTAGTTCATCTGAGGTTGTATTAATTAATGTGTTATTATGTCCTGATACACATCACCTAAAAGGAGTACTTTCTTTTTACAGTGACTGTACTGATAGACTATAGCCCAGTGTACCACTAAACATAAAGGATATTTTTAATGATAAATATCCTGTAAGGTGTTAATATGGTGCCTATGATTTTTCAGGGTTAGTAAAACACAGTGGTAATTAGCCATTATTTCTGGATTTCAGCACACAATGAGTTAGCTTTGCTATAATACTGTTGATTATTCAAAATAGTTTGTATTTTAAAATCAGCCATATTGTGTTGATTTGTGACTCTTTGTTTTCCATAAATGTAACATTAAGCTCCCCTTTTCAGATTTACAGTTGTAGAATGGATGTACAAAGCATCATTATATTAACAGTAGGGCATACAATGTATCAGAGTAACATGCTTACATTATTCCCTGTTCTGCATTAGCTGGTCCCAGGGCAGCCAAGTGCTTCTGCATTCTCCAGGAAGACATTCAAGCTGTTTTCATACTAGCTATTAGGAGACACGCCCTGCAGATAGCTATACAACAACAGGCTAAAGGAGTGAACTTATGGCTACTGCAAAGCATTGCCAGGCTTTAAATTTACCAGTCTCTCTCACTATCTATCTATCTATCTGTCTATCTGTCTATCTATCTATCTGTCTGTCTGTCTGTCTGTCTGTCTGTCTGTCTGTCTGTCTGTCTGTCTGTCTGTCTGTCTGTCTGTCTATCTATCTATCTATCTGTGCTCTTCCTCCAGTAATATGGAACTGAGCAGGAAATGCAGACTTCTTGGTGCCTTTGCTCTTGAGAACCACTCAACTGTTCTTTGGAGTCAACGCACTAATAGTTTGTTGTTTTGGCTAAAGTTTTGCATGTGTTTGTGTGTGATCATATATCTGCTTTAATTTAACGATCATATGTTATAACTATTTCTGTGTGAAAATAGTGCTGCTCAATAGCTCTGTTGTATTTGTTCACCCAACACTTCTTTTTCATCCACATTCTCTCATAAACAGATCGTTGAAGATGATGATGATGGACAGTTCAGCTCTTCAGAGGGAAGCACAGTGGATGGTCTTCCAGCTGGAGAGGGAGCAATTTCCGTAGACTTTGAATTAGAAGACACTATGGAGCCCGATCCCTGTTTCCCTGCTGGTGAATTCACCACCTACCTAACCTTAAATGTAATTTGAATCTGCATTTTCTATGACTAAAACCCCATCTGCCCATTGTCTTTTTTCAGCCTGTGTGCAGACATTCCGTTGTTGTCAAGTAAATGTAGATGTGGGCTGGTGGAAGACATGGTGGACACTACGAAAAACCTGTTATCGGATAGTGGAGCACAACTGGTTTGAGAGCTTTATTATCTTCATGATCCTGCTTAGCAGTGGGGCCCTTGTAAGTATTTACATGAAGAAAGCAAATGTTGCATTTGGATGACTAATTTGGTTTCTTTTGTGGATTTATGTGAGATATTTTATCTAGGATCTCTCATCAAGCAATAGATTCTCAAACGGAAATTTCATTATGTGCACGTTTGGCATTACTAAAGGTTGTCTTTTTCCACACATTTAGGCATTTGAGGATATCTACATTGAGCAAAGGAAGACTATTAAAACAGTTTTGGAGTATGCAGACAAAATTTTCACTTACATCTTTATTCTGGAGATGTTACTGAAGTGGGTGGCATATGGATTTGCCAAGTATTTTACAAATGCCTGGTGCTGGTTGGACTTCCTAATTGTTGATGTAGGTTGAAACTCTGCTTACACAGTGCTGAATCTGTTCTTTGTTGTGTTGAGACGTAGAATGAAACTGCACTGTCTTTGATTAATGTGTGTAATATTTCTTCTTTGCTCATGACATGTGTTGCATGTGTTCTAGGTCTCACTGGTCAGTCTGGTAGCCAACGCATTAGGTGCTAATGAACTTGGTGCCATCAAGTCTCTGAGAACTCTAAGAGCTCTGAGGCCACTGAGAGCCCTGTCACGCTTTGAGGGCATGAGGGTAAGAGTTGTTGAAAGTACTTATCCATTCAGAGTCATGCTGTCTAGCACTAGCTCAATATACTAGTGCAGAACACTTCCACTTCATTAGGTACAGCTTGTTAGCTCTAGATGGGCCACCTTTTTGCCATCAGAAATTGCTTAATTATTGTAGCACAGATTCAACAATAAAAAATACAATTTGTTGCATGCAACCATTCCTGTCTTCTCCCAATTCCCTTTCTCCTGCCTTCATTTGTCATCCTGGTAAGCTTAAGTATTTTGTTCTACAAGTTGAAAAAAAATCACTTTTTTCCTCAAATATACACCAGTGATGCAGAATTTTGATAAAAGGAATAGTTTGACATTGCGGGAATTTCTTGCTGAGAATACAACCCCATTATATAGTGCTTTTCATAAGTTAAAAAAAAATGCTGTTTTTAATATTGTAAATTTGTTTTCATTGACTCAAGAAATGTGTTTGTTTTTTACAGAGCTAATACACAACATCTAATAATGAAAATAAATCAATTCAAAATCAAAAGTAATACAACACAAAAAATAAAATCCTGTAACTCGAAGGTACAAAGAACTTAAATAAATAAAAACAACAGCTGTGAAATAAATAAAGTCAAATAAAGTGCTACTCTAACTCTTAAGAAACAAAAAATAAATAAATACCAAAATATCAAATTATTCTTATATCACTTTTCTCTTGTGATATCTAACGGCATTAGAGTTTTTTGCCGTGCTATGCAAGCATGGTCTTATCAGGTTGATAACTTATGTAACTGAAGAGACAGCTTTGTTGGCTGCTGAAATCAATAAGGCAGGTATTGATTAGTTGCCTTCATATTGTGGTGGTCTAGATTTACAGCACTGCTACAGTGATCATCTTTCCTCACGTGGTAGCCAGAGTATTCCCTGATTTGCATGCACAAATTCTCATGTGCGTCAGTAGTGCCATAATAGCTTCCATGCCAGTATCGCTGTTTTGATATTGTTTGTTGCGTATGTAACATGATCTTCTTTATGTTTTATGTATTTTTCTTTTTACAGTAATCAAATTTTGCGGCATCCTCCTTTCTCTACCAGGTGTTCATTTCAATGTTTATCTAAAATTTAAAACTCATCTGCTGACTCCTCTCCTGATTCTGTTTCCACCTTTACCATGTAGTTGTGTTGGATCTTTGGCGTTAGTCATAGCTGTGATGAGGTGTGATGTCAATATGCATGTTGGCACACATTTGTTTTTCCCCATTGCCAGAGTATACAGTGTGGTACATCACTTTAAGATTCTGTGATCCCTGTCAGCTTTACAGATATGTCATGATTTGTGTGTGCAGGTGGTTGTCAATGCCCTATTGGGAGCCATTCCCTCTATCTTCAATGTGCTGCTGGTATGCCTCATCTTCTGGCTCATTTTCAGCATCATGGGGGTCAACTTATTTGCGGGAAAGTTCTACTATTGTGTCAACACAACCACAAATGAGCCGTTTACTGCATCAAAAGTGAAACATATGAAAGACTGTAATTTCACGGATTCTAAGGTGAAGAACGTCAAGGTCAACTTTGATAATGTTGGCATGGGTTACCTTGCACTGTTGCAAGTGGTAAGTAACTCAGTATTGTGTTTCATAATTAGTGTCACATTTTGTGCCAGTTTTGTAATACAACAATATGTGTTTTTAATGCCACTTGCTGTATTCTTTTCTACAGGCTACATTTAAGGGTTGGATGGACATCATGTATGCTGCTGTTGATTCTCAAAGCAAGGTGGTGATTTTTTTAGTATTTCAGTGTTGAAATGCTTGAACTCCTATAAAATATCAATGTTTAATTAAATCATATTACACCTTCTTTTTTGTGGAGATGACACGTTGTTCACGAAAAACATATAACACTGTTAAATTAATTTTAGATTATCCTATTTTGTTTGGCCACGTTAAAGCTGTGGAACACTACACCTGATGCATACCAAACATTTCCTGCTGTTGCTGCTTAATCATGATCAAAATGCTTAAAATGTATTTACAGATCAGAATCTTGGTAAAGATAAAATAGTCCAGTTAGCTGTTAGTTCAAAGTTTGAAGGTGACAAACTGCATCAGGCTTTGAAGTCCTTTTTATTTGAACAAAATTATTTTGGGGGGCGGGCTTTACGGTAATCTAAATGCCACACAAGTAGGGCCACTCCTCATGAGGCACACATGAACTCAACCAGTACAGAAATTCAAAGGATGACTCTGTTTTAATGTCTCGTTTTTTCTGTCATCTATGTAGCCAGAAGAACAACCAGACTATGAGATCAACCTATATATGTACTGTTATTTTGTTGTTTTCATCATATTTGGAGCATTTTTCACACTCAATCTCTTCATTGGTGTCATTATAGACAACTTCAATCAGCAAAAGAAAAAGATAAGTATCAAATCTGCTTTTTAAACAAATTTGTGGTATTTTGGCTTCCAACATGTTGTTGTGATTCAACATGCCTATCATGCTTTCTTTACTTCGGAGGTCAAGACATCTTTATGACTGAAGAACAAAAGAAATACTACAATGCCATGAAAAAACTGGGGTCAAAAAAACCACAAAAACCGATCCCTAGACCATCGGTATGTAACTCAAGCCTTGACTGCATTCAGTATGAATTAAAACCCTCACTTTTATTTAATCCAAAATTTATTGTTGTTTATTTTTCCTATGCATGTCTGTTTTAGAACAAGATTCAAGGATACATCTTCGATTTTACCACCAAGCAATCATTTGATATTGTGATCATGGTTCTAATATCGCTTAATATGATCACTATGATGGTGGAAACTGATGAACAATCAGACTACAAGAAAAACGTCCTCTACTATGTAAATGTGATATTCATTGTCGTCTTCACTGGAGAGTGCATATTAAAGATGCTCTCACTCCGGCACTACTTTTTCATGAATGGCTGGAATATATTTGATTTCATCGTTGTTATTCTGTCAATCATCGGTATGACTCACCTCCATTTACAGTTTTTCTCTGATACATTTTTAATATTGCAGTAATCTGTCATCCAGTGTTTAATCTTTTCATTTCTTTCTTTAGGTTTGTTTCTCTCCGAAATAATAGAAAAATACTTTCTTTCACCAACCTTGTTCAGAGTCATCCGACTGGCACGGATTGGCCGCGTCCTCCGCCTTATTAAAAGTGCCAAAGGAATACGCACACTCTTGTTTGCCTTGATGATGTCACTTCCCGCCTTGTTCAACATTGGTCTCTTGCTCTTCTTGGTGATGTTCATCTATGCGATCTTTGCCATGTCAAACTTTGCATATGTCAAGAAGGAAAGAGGTATTGACGATCTTTTCAATTTTGAGACTTTTGCAAACAGCATGATCTGTCTGTTCCAAATCACCACCTCAGGTGGATGGGATACCCTACTATATCCCATTCTCAACAAAAATGAAGATGACTGTGACCCTGAGATGGAGAATCCTGGTAGTAATTTTAAAGGAAACTGTGGAAATCCTACACTGGGAATTACTTTCTTTGTGAGCTACATCATCATCTGTTTCCTTATTGTGGTGAATATGTACATTGCAGTCATCCTGGAAAACTTTGGTGTAGCTACTGAAGAGAGTGCTGACCCACTGAGTGAGGATGATTTTGAAACGTTTTATGAGGTCTGGGAAAGGTTTGATCCTCATGCAACACAGTTCATTGAGTATAAAATGCTTTCAGAATTTGCAGATAATCTGGAACCACCATTGCGCATAGCCAAGCCTAACAAGTTTGACCTGATCTCTATGGACTTACCGATGGTGAGTGGTGACCGCATTCACTGCCTAGACATCCTGTTTGCATTCACAAAGCGTGTTCTAGGTGAGGGTGGAGAAATGGACATTCTAAAGGAGCAAATGGAAGAGCGTTTCATGGCCTCAAATCCTTCCAAGTTGTCCTACGAACCCATCACTACCACCCTCCGTCGCAAACAGGAGGAGGTTTCAGCTGCTGTCATCCAGAGAGCATTCAGGCATTATACAAGGAAGTGTCCAGGAAAAGACAGAAGGTCCCATGACACATCCAATATTAACAATCAAAAGGATAAAAAGCTCATTAACAAGGGAAAGCATGACACAGACAAACTTAAAAACACGTCTAGTGCCAATAAAAGCAAACTGACACCTTCTGCTGCCTCTCAACCTTCATGTAACAGTGTGACAACAAATGGAAAAAACAAATATGAAAAAGACAAAAGTGAAAAGGAGGTTGTGAGCAAAGATGTCAAAGAACAAGATATGTAAAGGAAATCTGTGCTACACCAAAGACAATGTAGTGAATGCAAAATGTTTACAACCTTCCACAGTGACTAAGACATCCAGTGGATTCTCTTCTGTAGTATGGATATCTACTATGCCAAACTGACTGTGCTTGCTTGAGTCTAGAGGAGAGTTTCTAAAATAGAAAAGAGCCATTCAGGCTACAGTATGACTGTATGACTGTATGACTCACTTGGATGAATTGAAGAGCAAAGATCCATTATGTCTGCTTGTGAGGTGAGACGACATTACTTAGTGTTCTGAAAGGCATATTAGTTACTGCTTTACTTGTATTGCAGCTAGTTCTGCTACCCAGTGTCTTGAATTGTTGTTATATCACTGATTGGTGTATTACTCAACTTAATTTTTCAAGCAGGAAAAAAGGAGAGTTATATGCTATTGCTGAAAAAAAAAATCATAGTTTGGTTAATTGTCTTTTTATACATTTTTTTAGGGTTGTATCTTCAGGTATAGACTTTACACAGAAATGCACTGCTTTAAGGTTATTTTTGCTTGTCACTAATAGTACTTCAAATCCTAGAGACATTGTCAGTGATTATACATGCTAGAGTGTGCGCCATGATTTGTCCACCAGATGCAAAGAAGCCTTGATAAGGCTGCTTTTTTATTACAATACAGAAACTTACCCTTCAATCGAAACAAATCACAAAGAAGTTTGCTGATTATATTTGATTATCAGTGTCAGATCAGTAACCCTTGAAAAATACTTTGTACACTGTTAAATCATTTTTCAAATCATTCTCCATATGTTGTTGTATTTGGCCAACAGGGGTTTGATGCATCCAATAGGAGCTATAAGGTGAAAATTGCAATTGTTTATAAAAAACTTAAATATGGTTGGAAATTCTTATTTCTGAGACACATGGATACTGTTGTCATTATATGTCCCTTCTGTTAAGCTGTTTTTACATAATCTTCAATGGACATTTTGTAAATTATAACTGTAAAAGGGGTGGGGTGTTGTTTTATTTTATGTAAAAAGTTTTCTCAGAGTGCACCATTAAATCTTTTTATGTTTTTTGTCTAAGCCAAGTGAAATATGGCTCACAATATTCTGAATGACCTCAAGGATATGGCTTTTCACATCTCACATGTCCTAAGCTATTTCCTACTTCTGTTTACATTTTATATTGTGTTCATTTTTTCAGTTATTCACACATCCAATCACATCCATCCTAAACTGTTTCATAAACTTTTCTCGTTCTGTGTTATAAAAGTATAAATCCATTCATGTAATTACATTCTGCATGTAATTAAAACGTTCAACATAAAGGTATACTGTATGCATAATGCAAGAATGTTTTGATTACAAAGACTTTAACAACTCCCATCATTTATATGCATAATGCTTGTAGTGTATAAATTACCTGCATGCAAGACAATGCTATAACCTATTTCACTGAAAAGCTAAAGGAATAAAGATTACATTTAAGTCAAGTATGCCTACAACATTCATTTATTTTATCACGGAAAGTAAAGTATGAGCGGCATTATTTAATTCATGACTGCTTAAGTGGAGTGTGAGGGTGGAACTGGAAGGGGATTATGGGAAAAGCTATTCAGTGAGACGATTTGATTGCATTAGATTATAACATTTGTCTTCTTATCATTCACAGTATTTCCTGGAATAGCAGTGTACTACTTTCTGCCTTTTGTCCATTCAAATGTGTTTGTTAAGAACTACTTCCATCTTTATTTATTTTTGTTATGTGTAATATGCTTTGTTTACCCATCTACAGCCCTTATATTTTTGAGATTCTAGAATGACTTTTTCGTTGTACTCTAAAATTGGAGGGGGGGGGGGGGGGGGGGGGGGACAATATGGCTGAGCCATATATAGCAATTCCTAAATAAAATGACCAGTAAGAACAGCAATGACCACAACAAGATGCATGTTTATCTTATGAGCAGAGAACATACACTTTGTTTGTTTTATGGGGGAATAAAACTGTCAGAATGAAAAAAAAATAAATGACTTAAAAAATATATCAAATTCCTTGTATTATGTAGCAAAAGTAATATTAAAACTATTTGTATGTAATAATTATTTTATATAATGTGATATAAATTGATATTTATCATTTATTTTGGTTCTGTATCCATTTGTGTTCATTCCTCTATTTATTTATTCACTATTCCCCCAAAATTTCTGTGTTCTTATTTTTTGCATCCAGCTATATTTACATTTGTATTATTTTCTGTCTTTATTTTCTTTCTTTGTAATTTAATAGTGCATGTTTCCACAACTCAAAAAACAAAACAAAACAAAAGTTCAGCTTAAAACGCTGACTTTAACTAATTTAATTGCATGTCAATTTTCCATAAATTGACTGGTATACATTCAGTTTATACATTCAGTTTATTTTAGGCACATTTTCTTTCATTATTAATTTCCATGATTAATTATTTGAATAAATAAAATGTCGATTTTGTATATTTCTGTTGCATTTTACTCAGAATTATTGCTTCGTGTTTATTGAGGGTGAGGAATCATTTTTGATTGCATTTATTTATGTACTTCTGTATTCATTTCTTGTCCTTCAATATGCAAATAAGGAGGGGGGCATGCAAGGTTGGTCATGGATTAAACCTTTTACTTGTTGACTGATCGACACATTAATGCATATTAACATGTCTCGTTCAAACGTAACCAGTTCACCAATCTCATGACACAAATGGTTTCCTCTCATTATGAGAGGAAACCATTTGTGCTAGTGAACTGAGGCACTTAAATAATCTAGCTGAAAACAATACTGTCTGTGAGAGGCTTTTTTTTTTCATGTCTGGTGGTACAAGGCAGATTAATCATACTATATCTCAAAGAGATCTTGTTTAAATAAGTTTTAAATTTGTATTGTTGGGCTATATTTTATGTAAACATCTGAAAGTTGCAAAGTGAGAAAGTCAAACCACACCTACAGTGAGTGCTTACCTATCAAAATTGAGTTAACAAAATCTTTAATGTTGAAATTTATGAAAGCCAGTTGCCTATTTTGGTTTAATTTTATTTGTATTTATTTACTGTTGTCACTGTCATCAGGCTTGCCAGTTGAATGAAGCTGATGAGTACTTTTCAGTTGCATGAGAGTATTTCATCTTGAAAAACTGCTCTAAAGTGCAATGATGATTCAAAGGCATTAAGCATCAGCTTTTACAGTAACAGGCTGTAGAACATTAACAGTGCTGACAATTACTGAACCACGATCAACATCTATGTTACTTGAGGACCGGTAAAATGGTGAAGCTATCATGATCTCTCGCAAATGCAAGATGTAATAAGAACTCTAACTGTAAATTGGACATCTTAATGTTTTGTATTTATTGGAATATTGAAAGCAATTGTGGATTTATGAATATCAGAAAACAATCTTGAGCGATCGAGTGGCTTGCAAAGCTTTTTTTTTTAAAGTTTTTTAGCCCGTTGTTGCCAAGAAGTAAGCTTCACAACTTAAAATATGTACACTACAAGTTGATGATATTTTCATTTAAATGCAGTTTCAGAAAACATCAATGAAAGAAACTAGAATCTGCTTTTTGAGAGTGCTTTGTGGCTTCTGCCGGAAACTATTAGCATCTTAAGTGTGTGGAACATTTTATTAATTATTAATGACAGTCCAAATATTCATTATAGTCCAACATTGATTTTGCCTACTGTGGCTGCCTAACCCTGTGGGAAGTAAACAAGAGGCTGATGGCAAAGTGCTGATTATTCCTGCCATTCTGTCTAATAATGATTATGTGATTATTACTTTGGGCCACACCCAGTAACTACACTATGGTAAAGATTTGGTTCCTTTTACACTCAAAATAATTGTTTAGTTCTTAATAGCTGTTTATAAATAAATTATTCCTAACGTTGCTCTCAGAACATCACAATTTTTTTAACTGTAAATGGCAAATGTCAAGATTCCTTTTCTTTAAAAAACAAACAAACATTTAACTTAATATGAAATGTATTTTATTAGAAAATGCCAGCTTAATATGAAATGTAGCCAAAGGTTGAAATTGGCATCTTCACTCACAGCAACAAGTGGAGTTAGGCCTTCAGTTTGCCTGTTTTAATGACCAGTAAATCAAGAGTGATTCTGCAGATTCTCCTTGCTGGTTGCCAAGCAACATGACATCAGCCTCCTTTGTTAAACCATATTATGGTGGAAGGTCGGAAGTCGATCTGGTGCCCCCACCCCTGGAGTCTCACAAGATGGGCTATAACACATGGGCATGTTTTACGTGAAAGGATGTATTGGGCTTAATATTTCGCCACTGGTATGCACAGAGGAGAGTAGTAAAAGAAAAAAAATCATTTGCGAGAGAAATTTGAGAATGCTACCCATTACAGCTTTGTAATTGTATTTTCTGTGGATAGATGGGAAGAAAATCCTATTAGATTATATAGTGGTGAGTTCCCCTTCCCCTCCCTCCACCTTCCCACTGCACTAATAGAACGACACACAGACAGGCAACCACACACGGACACTCACTGTTTATCTCAACCTCTAAATCGCACACACCTATATGCACACACAGACACACACTTTGTTTCCAGTGAATCACTCCCAACTCAGAATAACAACTATCACAGTTTACAGACAAAGTGTGCACCATTTCCTCCTTCATTTCCTTTTTAATTATTACAAGAACAAAATTACTGCAAATGTTGACTCACTGGACACTTTATTGGGAAGATGTTGCTAGCACTGGGTTGGACCTCTTTTTGGCTCTAGAACAGCCTTAATTCTTTATGGTGTCGATTCAACAAGGTGATGGCAACACCCCTCTGAGATTTTGGTACATTTATAAGATATTTATAAGATATTTACATTAATTAGTAGTAGAACAGATATACCTAATGTACTGTTTGATTAATATAGGCCTATATACACACACATGTAAAATAAATGTAAGGCTCCATTTCTATTTATCACCTGTTTCGCCAGTCAGCACTCTACCTGAAGGTGTATACAGGGAGTGCAGAATTATTAGGCAAGTTGTATTTTTGAGGAATAATTTTATTATTGCACAACAACCATGTTCTCAATGAACCCAAAAAACTCATTAATATCAAAGCTGAATGTTTTTGGAAGTAGTTTTTAGTTTGTTTTTAGTTTTAGCTATTTTAGGGGGATATCTGTGTGTGCAGGTGACTATTACTGTGCATAATTATTAGGCAACTTAACAAAAAACAAATATATACCCATTTCAATTATTTATTTTTACCAGTGAAACCAATATAACATCTCCACATTCACAAATATACATTTCTGACATTCAAAAACAAAACAAAAACAAATCAGAGACCAATATAGCCACCTTTCTTTGCAAGGACACTCAAAAGCCTGCCATCCATGGATTCTGTCACTGTTTTGATCTGCTCACCATCAACATTGCGTGCAGCAGCAACCACAGCCTCCCAGACACTGTTCAGAGAGGTGTACTGTTTTCCCTCCTTGTAAATCTCACATTTGATGATGGACCACAGGTTCTCAATGGGGTTCAGATCAGGTGAACAAGGAGGCCATGTCATTAGTTTTTCTTCTTTTATACCCTTTCTTGCCAGCCACGCTGTGGAGTACTTGGACGCGTGTGATGGAGCATTGTCCTGCATGAAAATCATATTTTTCTTGAAGGATGCAGACCTCTTCCTGTACCACTGCTTGAAGAAGGTGTTGTCCAGAAACTGGCAGTAGGACTGGGAGTTGAGCTTGACTCCATCCTCAACCCGAAAAGGCCCCACAAGCTCATCTTTGATGATACCAGCCCAAACCAGTACTCCACCTCCACCTTGCTGGCGTCTGAGTCGGACTGGAGCTCTCTGCCCTTTACCAATCCAGCCACGGGCCCATCCATCTGGCCCATCAAGACTCACTCTCATTTCATCAGTCCATAAAACCTTAGAAAAACCAGTCTTGAGATATTTCTTGGCCCAGTCTTGACGTTTCAGCTTGTGTGTCTTGTTCAGTGGTGGTCGTCTTTCAGCCTTTCTTACCTTGGCCATGTGTCTGAGTATTGCACACCTTGTGCTTTTGGGCACTCCAGTGATGTTGCAGCTCTGAAATATGGCCAAACTGGTGGCAAGTGGCATCTTGGCAGCTGCTTGACTTTTCTCAGTTCATGGGCAGTTATTTTGCGCCTTGGTTTTTCCACACGCTTCTTGCAACCCTGTTGACTATTTTGAATGAAACGCTTGATTGTTCGATGATCACGCTTCAGAAGCTTTGCAATTTTGAGACTGCTGCATCCCTCTGCAAGATATCTCACTATTTTTGACTTTTCTGAGCCTGTCAAGTCCTTCTTTTGACCCATTTTGCCAAAGGAAAGGACGTTGCCTAATAATTATGCACACCTGATATAGGGTGTTGATGTCATTAGACCACACCCCTTCTCATTACAGAGATGCACATCACCTAATAGAATAGAATAGAATAGAATAGAATAGA